AAATAATCTGTCATAGGGAACCCGAAAGGGGCGCTGTGGGGTGCTAACACCTTCCCCACGCGTAACCGACTCCCTTACCCAACTCTGGTTGTAATGGCCAAAGTTGATTTATAAAATCAATTGCCTTATCCCTTTTTCCAATGTTTTGAGTAAAACATTGGTGGCGACTCCACGAACCCTCCTTTTACGAAAACCACTAATCCATGGAGGGTCCCGCTTGGGATTAATATGGATTGGTAAGACGATTTAATAAATAAATTGGATAGGATCGACAAGGTCTCAGTTTGAGAACAAGTCGTTCTAATAATCCAATACATTTTCAAAACTAAAATAAAAGCGAGTCCAACCATCCTTCGCGAATGCCGAAAGCCCGTTTCGGGCCGGTGGCGACAGTGCCAAGGATCAAGCATCACATTTGGCGCCTAGATTTGAATTCAAATTCAAATTTGAATTCAAATCTCCACTCGACATATGCTTAGCCATGAACCTAGGTGCTCCAATGCATCTAAATGTAATTTAGTAAGCATTTAGGGTTTATTTGAAGCTGCACATGTTCAGCCACTAGTGGTGAAAAACATGTGGCTCAAATGCAACTTAAATGCCTTCCAAATTAAATCTAGTTTAGTCTAATTAGCCTATTTAAGTAATCCTTCCATATTCCTATTCTAATGGCTTAAATACAATGGCCAATCAAATACAATGGAAAGGAAAAATTACAAGGATTAAAATGAGTCCAATATTGGGTACCAAAAGCCCAAAAACCCATGGAGCCCAAAACTAGGCCCAATAAGCCTAAAGCCCAAAAAGTCATATACTAAGGTCCATAATACAAGACCAAACCAAATGAAATCCTACACTACTCATCATGCAATAAAAAGGTGGTCACCCATGCAAAGCCCAAGTGAAGAGTACCCTAGGCCCACCAGGCCCATTGGGTCCACTAAGCTTTGAAGCAGTCAAATCTTCAAGTAGTCTTCTGGCCATAGCTCTAGTGGTTGGTCCCTTGGTCCATACTCTTCCATCATCCCCTCCCTCTTGAGAAGGATTTGTCCTCGAATCTAAGGAGTCATCCTCATCATCACTAGCTCCTACAAAAGGTTTTAAATCACTAACATTAAAATTAGGGCTAACACCATAATCAGAGGGTAAATCAAGCCTATAAGCATTATCATTGATATGTTGTAGGAGTTTAAAGGGTCCATCTCCTCGGGGACTAAGTTTTGACTTTCTTTGTTGAGGAAAACATGTTTTCTAAGATGAAGCCAAACCCAATCACCTTCCTTGAAGATCATGTTTCTTTTGCCTTTATTACTAGCTTTGGCATATCTCTCATTTTGTTGTTGTATATGAGATTTAATCCTTTCATGTAGTTTTTTTACAAAATCAGCCCTTGAAGCCTCTTCCTTATGTATAAAATGATTAACATTAGGGTGGGGTATCAAGTCTATAGGAGTCAAAGGGTTAAATCCATAAACAACCTGAAAAGGAGAAATATTGGTAGTTTTATGGACTACCCTGTTGTAGGCAAACTCAATGTGTGGTAAATACTCATCCCAAGATTTGTGATTACCCTTCAAGACAACTCTAAGCATAGTAGATAGAGACCTATTGACTACTTCAATTTGACCATCATTTTGAGGATGGAAAGTAGTAGAAAAAAGGAGTTTAGTTCCTAGTCTTGACCACAAGACACACCAAAAATGGCTTAGGAACTTAATATCTCTATCAGACACTATGGACTTAGGGAGTCCATGAAGCTTAACCACATCTCTAAATAAGAGTCTAGCAATGTTGCTTGCATCATCCATATTGTGGCATGGAATAAAATGGGTCATTTTGCTAAAGCGGTCCACTACCACAAAAATATAATCCATTCCCCTTTTGTGTTCTAGGCATAACTTTAGACTTAGCTTGTAAACAAGCCACACATCTAAGGCAATGCCTTTGGACATCCTTTCGCATATGGGGCCAAAAGAATTTTTCTTTAAGCAAATTGAGAGTTTTATCAACCCCAAAATGTTCCATAAGCCCACCTTCATAACTTTCTTTAATCAATAGTTTCCTCATGGATCCTTGGGGTATGCATAGTTTTACCTCTTTATATAAGTACTCCTCAACCATGTAAAAACCATTGAAGGCTTTTTGTTGACAATTTGAATAAATACTACCAAAATCTAGATCTTTCTCATACATTTCCCTAATATTATTGAATCCAAGGATTTGAGTTCCCAAAGACATAAGTAAAGTATGTCTTCGTGATAAAGCATCAGCTACAACATTAGCTTTATCTTTCTTGAATTTAATAATATATGGGAATTGTTCAAGAAATTCTAACCATTTGGCATGTCTTTTATTTAACTTACCTTGGCCTCTTAAATACTTTAGTGACTCATGGTCACTATGTATCACAAACTCCTTGGACACTAGATAGTGTTCCCAAGTTTGTAAGGCCCTAACCAAAGCATACAACTCTTTATCATAGGTAGGGTAATTGAGGGAGGCACCTTTTAGTTTTTCACTAAAATATGCAATGGGGTGTCCTCCTTGCAATAACACAGCCCCTATACTAATTCCAAATGCATCACATTCTAGCTCAAAAGTCTTTTCAGAATTGGGTAAAGCTAGTATAGCAGTAAAAACTAAATGAAAAGTTTTACTGCATTAACAAGAAACATGCCATGGTAAATTTTTTTTATTAAGGCCTTTCACTGCGAAGACAGGGATGATGATATTGAATATATCATTCAAACATTCTAGATTTTGTATTTTATTAAGGCCTTTCATAGTGAATTCTTCATTAACAACAATTAATAAAAATTCAATTCCCAGTGGGAGTGTTCCTTACCTGGTTATTCTTAATATATATGACCAAAAACGTGCTATGAGCATGTCCACTTTCTCCATGATAAAGAAATCGGTCGTTTTATCAATTCCAATGCCACGCCGAAAAATAATATACTAAAATAACAGGATATGTTAGCTTGCCATTTTACAAATATGTTAAAATCTAGTATAAAAAAATAACAACAATAATTCTGGTAGTTGTTTCTACCTATGCAGGTCCTCATGCTTGTTTCGGTTAATTAAAAGTTCTGATGTAACAAAATAAAAATGCAGAAGTCTCTAGTGTGTGCATGCATGTGTTTGGTGTGAGTGTGTGAGAGAGAGGGGGGAGGAAGGACTAAAGGTCTGTTTGATAAATTTCTCCAAATGCACTTTTAGGAGAGTAAAATAGGAAGAAAAAATGAAACAAACTTATCCATAGGGTAATATTAGCTTATGCATAATATATTTTGTAGAAGCTCTTTTTTATTAACTTTTCCAAATCTTTATTTTTAACTCAAGTATAAACTAGTTTTAGCTTATGATCAAGCTTATTTTGATTTTATTTTTCGTGTGTAGAAATACTTATGGAGAAGCTTAATCAAACAGAATCTAAAGAGGGATCAACTGCAGTTCAGCATCAAACAAGTAAATATGTAATAAAAGCCAAATGAGTTGATAACATTGAGTGCATATTCATCAATATCATGAATTTGTTTCTCTAAACAAGAACTTTCTAACACAGAAAAATAATGAACACCGTGGCTCCAAAAGTTCCTTGGTGAATAAGTACCCCTAGTACTAAGATTTAAGCCATACCTTATCTTTGAAATCTGGAAGGTTATCTTGCGGATGTGCTTCAAAATACTTCTTCAAAAGAGTCTTGTCAAGCTACATTCAGCAAAACACATAGATCAGCTCTATTCATATTATGCCTCTATATTATGAGTTACAATAGAAGACAGAAGCATTGTTTCAAACCTTAGATTCATTGACTGTAATGGGGAGATTTAGAAGATACTGTCCAGAAAGTGCAATGTCAATCTCTTCTTGAGTTGCAATCTTGAAGTTGCTTTTTTTCATGACCTGCATAAAGAATCAAAGAATCTTCAGATAGAATTAGAAACAGAAAAAAAAAAAAAAGATATTTAAAATTTAATAGTGATACTTTTGATTTTTAAGATCATGATGGGTAAACTTCTTTGGAAGCACTTGAAGAAAAATAGGAAGGAAAAATAAAATAAGTTTCTTCATAAGTTGAAACTTTCTCATGTATAAGCTAATTTGTAGAAATTCTCTTCTATTAACTTCCTCAAAAAACCTTATTTTTATCTCATGCATAAGCACATTTTAGTATATCAAGAAACTTATTTCAATTTTCCTACCTATTTTTCTCTTCTAAAAATATTTTTGGAGAAGTTTATTTAAATATGTTGGTATTCCAAATCTTATTCACCATATGCATCTGGGCTACAAAACATAGACACTTCTAAGTAGAGGCAGTGTCGTGTCATATACATATACATATCCATGTTGAATGTTGCATGGACACTTCATATTTTTCTAATTGTATTTTCATACTTTTAGTTTTTTAAATTTTTATACCAATACTGATTAGAATACCACAATTATTTGATTTTTTTTCTTGTATTTTATCATGTTTAATATGTTTATAAATGACTTATGCTCATATTCTCGTGTATCCTATCATATGTGTAACCCGTAATGTATCTATGCTTCCTAGTGTGCCACTGCCTCAACCTTTACTCTTTTCATGCCTTCAGTGTTTAATCCACTAGCTAAAGCTTTTAACCAATTTACTTAAGTCACATAAAAGAGTAGCCTATAAACCTTTTCATTACAATAACAGAACACTGAAACTCAATCCAACCATAGTCACAATCCTTACACTTCCTCACCCTTCAATTCTTGGACAAGGCTAAATTATTACTATATTAGTCTTCTATTTAAAGGCAGGGCTTCCAATTGACTGTCATAGCATGATGTAGAGAATAAAGGTGTAAATCTATTGATATCACACTTTATATACAACAATCATTGTGAAGATAAAGTATATGGTTTGAGTTAATTTCTCTATTAAAACCATTAAGGGTTAAAATCTATAATAAATAAATGAAATTTTCCGAGATAGCTGTAGACAACAGAAATTTATGAAGTATACAAAATACCTCGAAAAGGTAAACCAAGAAATTCTGTTCAAGTTGATCAATTTCTTCAGGAGGTAACTTCTGTTGTTCCAACTTCTGAGCCCCGGATACAGGATCAAAGAGAGAATATAGTTGCTTTAGGCACAAAAAAAGGGGGGAAATCAGTCTCCAACCACATCATTAGTTATCTGTTATCTGATTAGATACAAGTTAGAAGTTTTCTTAAAAGCTTCTCTATTAGGAAAAGACTCTTTCTTTTCGGTAGAGAAGCTTTAAAAAGAACTTCTAAATTTATATCTGAACAGACTAAAAATGGTGAAGAAAAGAATACCATCATATCCTCAAACTGTAGAAGGTACCAAGCTCGAATTGTATACTCTATTCTCTTGCAGAGCTTCAAAAACTCAACTCGATCAGCACTATGTTCTGCACATAGCACCCAAATGACTCAAGTCTACAAAGAGAATAGCAGCTTTGGAAGGAGGGTGGGGAGAAACCTGTTTCTATATTATTTCATCTAAATCAAAACTGGAAAAATTTATCACCATAACTGCACCAAATAATTTTATTAGATTGCATTGACTGTGTAAATATTTATACTGTTATCCAATCATGGATTGTTATGTTTGGTAACTTTTAGAATATATTCAATCAGACATCAAATCTGTTTAAATAAAGTAATAAAATATTCTAGAGTTTCTCTATTAAAGAAAAACACTTTATTTTCCTCTGAGAAATTCTTAAACTCTTCTAAACTTAAATTCAAACATGTTCATTGTCATGTATGATATGGTTGTTGACTTCAACCATAACTGCGTTAAAAGTAATATCTCCCATCATTTTTTTTTATTAGTTGACACTTGATTGGGTAAAAACCTTTTACTTGAGTTTTTTTTTTACTAAGAATATTCCCATCAATAGTCGTAAACTAATTCCTTTCGAGGAATAGAGATTACTTAAGAATTTTATCTTTGTTAACAAAAAAATTTCTACCCATATAGCACCCGACAACATAATTAAAAAAAACTCAGCCATGTAGGTGTTAACCTTGTTTGTTTAACCTTTTTCTACTGGCAGTACATAGAGATTAAAAACAAAATTATACTTGGGGTTATTTCCATTTAGTTGAGGGTAAGAGTGTATCATGATTCAAACTTAAACTCAATTAATAATTAAATTATATGCAGAGCATGGTTTTCATTTGCAGTTAACAACTGTAATTGCAGCAGCAATCCTATTTCAAAATACAATTAGTGCTTCAATATCGTGATTTAGGAGGTCTTTGCAGTCATATTACAATACAACTGCAACAACAGCCTCATAAACTTATAAATTTTCTCTTAATTTCTATAATCAAAACACAACTGCATCAACTATAACAACCGCACTTTAAAATTGCAAACTGATATAGTGATCATATAATCATATATATCTTCTTATAATCTTAAGTAATTTTGGAAGCAGTCTATAATTGCAATTTAAAATGACGGTGCAAAACATGTAATAGAATAGAAAATGAACCTGTTTCAAGTAACAACTAAAATTACAACCTCGCAATATAAACTATTCTTAGTAGTATCATAAAGTTAGGAGAGCCTCGACTGAGCTTACAGTGGCACCAAGAAAAATTATTAGCATTTAAACCTTTCAAAAAAGAATAATGTTATTGACATAATGTAAATGAAGGTAACTCATCAAAGTTAACACTAACAATAACACTCGGTAACCAATAAGAGAGAGTAAAAAAATGAATTTAGTAGTAACAATTAATTATACCAGTTTTGTGATAAACTAAAAACAAATGCTATTATCGCACTTTCTATATCCTACCTTTTTTCTAAGTGGATTTTCTAATATTTATAAAATTTTATAAAAATTATGAAACAAACCCATATAATTACAGATCAAACGTGTTATTAGCATTTAAGAATCAATTAATGATACCCAAGTTATATATTGTCATTTAAGAGTGGGGCCATCAACACACTGATAAGGTATAATCAAATAGTGATTTCTAATAAAATTCGTAAATAATATAGTTTATAGGACCAATTCAAACATAAGAATACTAAAATTTTAAGTTTTAGATAAAATGTGAAAAAGTCTCTCAAAGTTTGTTTTAGATCTCACCCACCATTTAATGGGAGAGTGTAATTAGAGTGTTTCATAAATGGTTTTTTTTTTATTTTTTATAAATTAGTACAAATTATCTACTAATTTTACTAGTGTTTCCGTCAAAAGTCTAATAAATCATTTTTAATAGAAACTCATTCCTTAACTACATTTTTTTATCTACGATATTTTATTTAATGAAATGAAGTCTAATTTCACGTTGATAAAATATGTTAACAATCCAAAATAGCAACATTAATGATTACGAAAGTGCAATCAAGAAAGAGTAGATAGCAACGAATTCGCAGGTACAAAATGGTATAGCACGTGTGCATGAGAGAAACAAAAGAGGTTCAGAAACATACTAATAAGGTTGGCCAATGTCATGATGAGCCTCGGCTTCAAAACTGGAATCACCGATTCGCGTTCTATCCGAATCACTTCCTTCTTATGATGACCCTTTTCTTCCAAATCCAATTGTGCCATTTTTCTTCAACCCACCAAACTAGTCTCAAAGATTGAACTATAAACCCAAGAAACCGTAATTTATATAGACGCAATACTTCGAAGGGATAGATGAAAGGTGTAACAAAGTGTTTCTTGGCAACACATTATGGAATTAGATTCATGCTTCGCAAACTAGGCATAAGATGCTTGCAACAACCACTCAAACCAAAAAAAAAAAAAAGATAAAGTATAAAACTGTAGTGGGCCTATGAAATAAATTAAAGTAAAAATAAAACTGAGTTCTTCTTTAGGTGATGAAACATGAAACTACCACTAGCGTGTTGGTCGGTCACATAACGAACTACAAAATGCAATGTTCGGTTTCTTCGGAAGGGGAATTCACGTGCATGGTCAGAAAGTGAGGGTAAAGTTACGTGTGAAATTGATTTATTCAAACTTTCTTCTATTCTCAAAATAGATTGATTCATGTTTCATGGTAATTTATTTTTAATTTAAGTGTTCATTGAGTGAAAAATACAATAGAGACAGAACGTTATCTCAAGTGAAAAGGTGGAAAGAAAAAAGTACACGTGTTTGCTTCTCATTGAATTTCTCTCTAATTCGATAAATTGTTGAGTGAAAAAAATATCACAGATTTGACGTGTCTTGATAAACTCTGGATAGCTGATCTAAGAATCGTAAATTACTTTTTTTTTTTTTTGTGGGGGAGGGTAATAACTTTCAATAGAAATTTTATATTTTTCTAACTTTTGAATTTAATGAATTTGTCCTTTTTTATTACATAACTTTCAATATAAATTCTGTATATTTTTAAATGTATAGTGATTTTGCACATTTTGGATTATAATTAAAAATGGTTTAACTTCTTTAAGTGAAGAAGTGTACTCTACAAGATAAACGTAACTATAATTATTATTCATGAAAAAATATGCAAAACTAAAAAAAAATTACAAATTTATTAAAATATAAACTATTAATTAGAAAAATAGTAGTTATAATTAGACTTTACTTTTTAAATACATCATATTCACTATTCAACTGTGAAAGAAAGTATCATGCGTGAGAGGAGCAAAGAAAATGAAAGTTCTCGTAAAAATATTATAAATTTGCGTTAAAAATTATAGATTTATATTCATTTGTTAGAAAATTAACTAAAGCAGTACAAATTCATTAAAAAAATTATAAGGTTGTTATTATATGTTATAGACTCTTAATCTCATATGACAACATTATTTTAAAGAAAAACACATAAAAGGGAAAAGAAACACAATTGTTTTAACAAAGTTGTGAAGAAAAAGACTACCCTTTTTAGTGACCCCTTCTTTTGTTACGAAAGTTAAATACCATTCACACAATCGCTATCCGTTTTATCAGTGTGACAAGAGGAGTCCGGTCATCTTCAAGCAAACAAAAGAAATGGATTTCTTTGGCAGACGAAAAATTAGGTTCACTATTTTATATTGTTTCACATATTTCTTACATGCACCAAATACAACGTTTTCATTAAAAATTGGGAATCAGCATATGATTGTTTACCCTTCTAAAACTAAAACCTTTTTCTAATCACCCAACATTTTACAAATTCTCTCATTCAACATTAGAATCCGTTATTAGCTACTAGACAAATTTTTCTTTCTAACACGATTTTAAGATTGTCTAATTCATTTAATTTATAGTTTAAATTTGTTGTTAAGATCGATTTAACTATTGCACACATAGTAATGATTTTCCTTATTAGCGTAATGACCTACACAACAAATAAAATGCACATCAAATGTTACAACAAAAGACATATCTTATACTCCCAAAATAAAAGTTTTCTCCAGCTTGTTATAAATCCATACTGAAAAATAGAGATAAAATTTTGGTATAAATTTTCGTATGTCTCATTATTTAATATTTTACTCACTTTTATGGGTACAAAAACCAACCCAATTAAATTAAGAGATAAAAATTAAGAACCCCGTCCCTTGATAAATCCCCAGATAGCATAAGTTGAATATTAAATTTCCTCAAATTGTATAAACATTCCATTGTGCATGACTTTACAAATCAACCTTCCATTTAACCTTGTCTCAAGGACTAATCGGACGGTTTTACTCGAGGTAATTACACTTCTCCCCTAAAATTAACAATAATTTTACTTAAACTACCGGATTTGAAAATCACAGCCGATTATTACCTTGCACCTCCTTCCGTTATTTTTAAAAATACATGTACAACAAAATCAAAAAAATTGCTCAATTCTTTTTTAATATAATAGGTATCGATATGGAAAAATAATATACAGTAAAAAATAGTACTTTTTTGGTCTCATGGTTCTTGTCTGTAACGACCAGACACTGAGATCCACTCATCGGAAGATTGACTATTCAAATATGTATTTGGACCTAAAATCTAATAGTTAATGAACTACCAACACTAATGGCAATGAAGCCCTCGCCTTTCGTAAACCAAAAAAGAATAGTCATTCTGATTAGGCTTCGGAGTTCTATTGGCTCTATAAACCCATCTATACTCATCTCTCCTAGTTATCATACAAGGTTATGTTATGCACATGTACTATAGAACCTTATTTGGCTGCTGCTACTGACAACCATACCCAACGAGAAAACCATTTTACCATTTGAATATTGTGACCAAAACTAAGAAAAGTACCCAAAGTAAAGATAACTCAAAAAGAGGCAACAGCCAACAGCATTTCTTACCTTCCAAAATTATTAAAGAATATCTCTCTAGCAGCAAAGGAAAAAAAAAATAATAAATAAGAATAAAATATGTAACTTGCCTAATAACCTGAAATTCTTGAAACTTATCTTAACCACTTGGTTTCTTTCTTGCGCATCTAATATCTAGATATGTACATGGTGTTGAGTTGGCCTCGGTATAGGTATGTACAAAACCTATCTCATCTCAGGGTATGTATACCCCAGCTTCTGTGGATCTTGCTTATGTCAAAATACTATCACATGACAAATATGCATTTCTTCTCAATGTCTTGCCATCAAGCTTAACTCTAATTTTGGTGTAAAACATTCATTACCGGTTCCATGACCTTAAGTATGGCTTTCCCAATTGATCATGTAATGAGGAATTCTGATGTATCCATGCCATATCCTCAGGCACCAGACCACTAGGTGCTTCACGTCCGGTGAAGTAGTCTAATGGATGAGAAGCTGGAGGTGCAACAGCGTTCACCCTTGGTGTACCTGCATCTACTAATCCATAAGTTCTGGGTGCAAGAAACTGGTCAGTATTTCTAACTGAATCATAAGCGCTACCTGAATGTAACTGGTTACACTCTGACAGAATACTAAATAAACTCTGATCAGAGTTTGCTCCAGTGCCAAGACTTTGACTCGGAATACTACCACCATCTGTTCCATTCCAGCCACCACGAACTTGATCAGCAGGGAACCAATTATGACCAATAAAATCTCCAGTATTCAAGTGAGATTGAGATGGTCCTGCTATGCGAGTATTATTAGTAGCCCAATCAGTCATATTTACTGCAGCCAGTGGATCTTGCCTGGAGATTAATGGATCTTGTCTGGGGATTAATGGATCTTGTCTGGGGATTAATGGATCTTGCCTGGAGATTAATGGATCTTGCCTGGGGATTAAGTACCTTCCTCCATTTGAAAAAATATTATCTGACATGGTTTCTGGCATGTAAACCTCTGTAGCTCTCCTTTGCCCCTGGTCCAATGTCAGTGACGTTTGCAAGGGCTCCTTAAAATGACTGGAAAATTGGCCATTCCCCATCATAACACTGTTTGAAGTCTGGAAACCCAACTCAGCTCCTTTCTGTTCATGATGATAAGGTAACATCCCCTCTCCTTTGTATAGAGATTGGAGTAAGACACTTCGATCCTGGCTTTGGTAAGAACTGAAGGTCCCATCACCCAATTGCCTGCCTAACAACTCTTTGCCTGTCTCTTCTCGATGCAAATCAGCTTCAAGATCAATCATACGGGTTGGCTGCTCTTCACTAACTTGAGGATTAGCCAGTGATAACCCACTGGCAGTGTACTCGTGAGTCACAGCTGAATCATAGTATGAATGTGGCATTCCAACTCCTTGCCAGACATCACCCCCAGAAGTGAAAGGCGCTCCTTCATCAATAGAAACATCCCGAGTGATCATATTCCTCGAATACTCATCTTTTTTTGGCGAAGTATTATTTGATTTTGATAAAAGAAGATTCTTTTCTGAATCCACGCTCATTTGGTTGAACTCATCATCACCACTAACATAAGAATTGTGCAGGGACTGGTTCTTGGGGGACCCAGAACTAGAATCCTCATCATCTTTCAACTCAGACTGATCATTCAGACTCCCATCCTTCACCTGATTGTTAAGCTCATCATCCAAGTTCACATTATCCTCACCCTGATCCTGAAGCTCACTTGATGAGCTAACATTATCCTCATCCTGATCCTGAAGCTCACTTCCTGAGCTCATGTTATCCTCATTCTGATCCTTCAGCTCACCCCCTGAGCTGATGTCCTCATCCTGATCCTGAAGTTCACTCCCCGAGTTCACATCATCCTGATCCTGAAGTTCACTCCTTGAGTTCACATCATCCTCTTCCTGAAGAAAAAATTATAATTGGACATATTTTAAGTAACAGGGCTATTGTGGAAAAAAAAAACCAGGAGCAACTGAGAAAGCATCTTCTAGGAATTTGAGAAACTGACACTAGATATGCAACTCAATTCTAGGAAATTATAGAAGACATTAATAATGAAACGCCACTTCAAACCTCTATGAATGGATTTGATTTGTCCTTCATCTCTGCCACCAAAGAATTTCTCACAGCAAGTCTCTGTATCTGTCTCTCTGTCCAATTTACATATGCTGCAGGGAGGTCTTTGTTTACCAATTGCAACCTATGCAAATAAAATATATTCTAGTGAGAAATGATGACGAAAATTTAAAAATGTAATGTGTTCAATGATGACATATTGGCATAAAATGACAGCACAGTAAAAATATCTCACTAACCAATGCTCCTGCAACTTCTTCTGTTCTTCTTTGACAAATATATTATATGGTTGCACATGAATTGTTTCAAGGTTACCCAAAACACGGTTAAGGGACCTAGATTGGATGCTTTTACCAGACTGCTTCATATTCTTAACAAGTTCATGCTGCTGCCTACTAATCTGAAATGCATCAAGGTATCAGTTAGCAAATGCCCTAACAAAATATGAACATTTTCGTGGTAAAGATGAAAAATTTAGCTAGGTTTCCTCGCATTGAAGGAAAAATATCTTTAAAAATACTAGTCTTATGTTGTTATTAAATTCATATAGCTGTATTATATAGAATTAGCAAAATCACACTAATAGCTCTAACAACAAGAAAGTTAAAAGGAAACTAAGAACGTAGCGGTTTGACTTCAAAGGCACAAATAAGTCAGCTAAAGTCTAAATATTAGAAGTTTCAATGATAATAGTTAGTTTCACATAATTTAAAAACCACTATTGTCACTCTAATTATTGACACTAAAGAGATGTTTCTCTGCCAATTCAGTATTGCTCAGAAATAATTTTTTTTTAAAAAAAGGGAGAACCTAACCTTGATACATGACATGTATTTGTCACTATCACTAGAATGAATGTTACGCTTGGGCAGTTTGTCTCCTGTCTTGGGCTTTTCTCCCACACTAAGCACATTGTCCAAAGAATCCATCAAATTTCTGGATTTACCTTTGACAATGCCTTTTTCAAGCAGCCTGCCAAACATTATTTCATAAACAGTATATTAAGCATTAAAAAATTGATGGTAGATTTAAAATGAGAAATAAAGAAAGATTAAAACATGATTATAAATACAGCAGGAACTATAAATCAAAAGAATGCCATATAAGACATAATTAAAAGGAAATAAATACAAAACCAGAGAAAGAAATTTTCCCCTAAACAACCCATTTTCATATTACAGTTGCTTGTGACATACACTAACTTATGTGATCAAAAGAAAACAGGGACCTAAATTTCAATCCAAGCAGTTGCATGGATAATGAATTACATTGTATATCACTATACACTGGAAATATTTACTAATAATTTATTTTTGTAATTTTCTATAAAATCTAGGGTGATTTTCTAAAGTGACCTTAAGTACAAAGTGAGAGGATTTATTCAATATTATCATTCATTCATTAGTCCAATAAACATCATAGAAGAAGCAAAACTGGACTAGGAAATCTAGTATTGTTGCTTGATGTTCCAAAATAACACTATCTAGTCCCCAGATTTCAAGGCAGGAAGGCATGGAAATGGGTTTTGTTATCCAAAATGTCCTTTTTGCATTAAATTCCCTCAAACTGTAAGTCCAAAAATTGAAGTCTTGGGTACACAGATTAAGATTGATCCAGTATAAGATTTCCAGGAATTGTTCATGGTTATTTTGTTTATCCCTATCTAATGAGATAAGGCTTGGATGTTGTCTTTGTTTAAACTGCAGAGACGTAAGAACCTACATATAACTGACAAAAAATAAAAGGAGAAAAACTCCTCACTTCTCATAAAGAAGAGGATGTCAATGACAAAACAATAGTAATAACAACAACCATGAGCTAAAACTGGTTAATGGTGATGATATTGAACTAGTAGTTATAAACATAGCAGTAAGCTCTAAAATGAAAGAGTTCTCATCTGTTTGGATGGCATTAGTAAACAATTTTAAAATGCAGAAAATTTATTCTCTAGGAAGTTCACCGATTCAAGCTGAAGTTATATTAATCCTATTATGCAATGTTGACCCATGTACAGATATCTTATATTTCTATATCACAGTTTTACTGGAAAGATCTTCTACACTGTTTAAGAGATTGAAAATAGAAACATTGATAAACCAAAATCACTACAATCATAAAGCATTTAAAATGCACAAAGTTAGTAGTTCATTTTTGACAGATATTGCTGAGTTAAGAGATCCTGTCAGTACTAAATGTTGCTGATTACAAATATATAAGTTACCTTCTTTGAATTTTATCATCTTTTCTCAGAGGGGAAAATTGGTTGTCACTACTACATGCTTTTTCCTCTGCATCCCAGGAGCATGACTCAGATGTCCCTGTAACATTTTCATCATGATCATAAACTCTAGATTCAACCACTTTTGAGGGCATTCTTTGCTTTGACCTGCATAATTCAACAACTTTATGACATTAATATTTTCTAGTAGAAAATCCAAAACAGGTGCAGAACCTCATAAAATCCAATTCAAGTAATCAACTTTGAGTACCCAACAAAAGATCACGTGTAGCTTGCATTGCTATAACAGAAGTACTTGCACATCAACAAAAACTACAACTATTTGATATCAGTAGCACTCATCATAATCACTATCTAAAAAGGATACATCTAGAGACGTGAATCAATATTAAATGCAAGATGGTATTTTAATAAGTCAACCATAGTCCATTAGGCATCCAAAAAAAAATGTCCAATTTGTTTTACCAACAGTTATCAAAGATTTCATATTAAGTACCAAATAAAAATTTATATCAAAATTGAAACAAAATAATGTAGTGATGCTTAAATAATTCTAAACAATATACCAGTAGACATATAAAACCGATATATGCATATTAACAGACTCATCATCTATTGATGAAGACAGTAGTCAAGCAAAAAATATGAAGGGAAAGTCCCATTTGATCAGATACATCACAGAAAAGATTATCAGGACTTCACCATTTCAGATTTGAAGCAATATCACATGACACCTCAAACTATTAAAAAAAAGTCATATGAAGGATAATATCAATATGATATGCATTCCAGTAGGTATCATTTAATAAAAGAAACTATGGAATATGTCCTGTCCCAATTTTGAATGTGGTCAGAGGTGTAGTGTATGTAGATTGCAATACACAGAAAGTGACAACCTCCATATCTTTTGCACAATCTCCTTTTCAGGATCTTTACAGCTTTGCCACTTGTTCTTCAACTTAGATAGAAATCCTATCATACTGCAAAATAGAAGAATGAGAATACCGCATTAAATACTGTACAAAAAGGATACATGTTGAGGATATACAATGCTTACTCATTGTGATAATTATGTATGTATGAGTAGTATTCTTTCTTCTCAGACTTAAGACGTCGTTCTCGGTCAACAATCGTATCTGGATGAAGATCACCTAAACAAAGTGAAGCACCCCTGCAAATATATATTTTAATACATTTGTGACTCTGAAAAGGAGAAGATTTTCATGAATTATTAGCAAACTAGACAGATACCATTCAATGTCTTAATGATATTTTGCTCACAAAATAGGGAAACAAAAGGACCTTGCTGAGATAGCAATATTAAATTGCCATAAAAAGTATTGGTAAATGATCACTACCCAGATGAGCATATAGATGGTTGTCAAATTAACATAAACTAAAAAAAACGTATGCATAGGAACTATGAAGAACAAAACAGAATTTCAACCAAACAAATTCCCTTCCAAGTTACAAAATTGATAATATTTTGTCTGCAGGAAAAGGAAGACCATATAAAATTGGTCAATATGCCATAAGATACGATAAAACCTTGATTGAATTTCAAAGTATGCACCAAATAGAATTTATAGCTGAAATATGCAATTGGTATTGCTGCTAAACTCAATGCGAAGGCCAATAGAGAAACCAATTACACAAAGTCAAATCAATAACTAATCCATTCATTCCTAGAAATCTGAAAATTAGGATTGTCACATGTAGCGTGTACTTAAGAGCAGGAAATGGGATAGATAAACTGCAAAATACAGCCGAGTGAGCAGATAATGCATCTAAAGAGAAAAATACAAGGAAAGATATCTTGCCATTTTAAGAAGGGGTTTCCAAAGCTATAGTTAATCCCAGCAAGTAATTCTTCCACAACTTGATGTGGCTCAGAGCCACTAGGGAGAAAATTCATTAGAAGGTTTCTCTCGTTTTCTGAAAGATGTGTCTTCCAAACCTGCCAATTGCCAAAAGTTTTATAGAAGATGATTTAGACATAATTCCTAGACAAAATAAAATCTATTTTCAACTGCTAACAATAGAAACATAACACATCGAGATACATACCTCATATGAAAGGACTTCACTTAAATTATCCAAGTCAAAAATTTCTTGAGGCACTGTAATCACGTCTGCCAAGACTTTGTGATCATTAGAAACAACATTGATAAATGGTTTCATTTGTCTCCGACTGATGCCGATCTGTTCACGCTTAGCAACAACCCTTTTCTGATTACCATCCCACTCAACAGAGATGTGAGATCTCATGTTTAAATCATTTTGAACTAATCCCAAATTCTTTCTTTTGATCCTGTGCTGCTCTCTAGAACCATAACCAACAACGTTTGCACCATTTACGCGTTTTCTCCTCTGATCAGCAGCCATGGACACGAGAATAATTCTTCAAAAAAACACTATACCAATATATAGCATAATGCCACCTTGTTGACTTCTAACGAATATCTTTCATCCATAAGTGGCCTGCCAAGCACCATTGGAAAACAATGTCAATTATATCATAATATTCAATGTCCATGGATCCAGAGATGTTAAACATTATTTCCTCTACGCAAGGTGTTAAACTGCTTCACTTAAAGGTTCAAAGAAGACAGCCCTAAAAAAAAAATTTTGAGCATTTTTAGTATGTAACATGGCCATTCTGTTCTTACCTCTATTCCATAAGAACAAGTGTTGCTATGCCTGGAAGGAATGAAATTTTTGATTCCATGCTTCAACTTCATAGAGTCAGAAATTTCCATTCCAGTCTAGAGAGGTAAATGGCCATATTTTGTTGGCTATTACAAACTAATGCTTGTTTTAGTGCCTGTTCAGTTTAAAATTTGGTTAAATTGATTTCAAATCATTAGAGATGATCAAGAAGTTTGTCTAATTTAACTTGAATTACATATTTACATTGGAATGTGTGCTTTTCATTGGAAAGTGCAAAAGAATAGTTTTCTAACATCAAAACAAACAGAGCCATAATTACACATTAATGGCAATTCTCTGCTGGCTAGAACAAACTAGTGTTTGTTTTATATCATGACCCCTTATTAATTTTCATTTAGTCATAATTATGATTCAATTCTATATAGATTTTCAGTACCAAACATAAAAGCATAATTAAAAATACAAATATTCCATTCTGAGCACACATAGCAATAGAATAGGAATGGTCATTCCACTCCCATTCTAATTATGCAAAAACCAATTCCATAACAAAACAACCAGGAAACTTAAAAATTCAGATAATAACATACAGCAGGAGAAGAGGTTATTCATAAAAAAAATGTCTCTCATAAGCATGCCAATTGACTCTACTACAATAAAACTATAAGTTCATACACTTGTTCATAGTTGTATGGAGATTGTATTATAATTTGTGCATGTCTAGATGAGATTATTTTAGAAAAATAATCACTTCCATTTTTTTCAGCTTCCTGAAAGAGATTTTGAAGAAAAGCACTTATTTCCCATTAAAAAAGTGTTTTCCATTTCAACTGCTAACTAGGATGAATTTCCCATGAACAGATATTTACAAGGGATTTTCACAGGATTTCTAGTCTCCACAACACCAAGTAATGAATGCACATTGCCATTTAGAATCTGGAATATCGATAAAGCTGCTATCATGTGTATAATAATAATTCCAAATTCCAATATATGAAGTCCTCTCGAAATCAAGAAAGTGGAAAGATGATATCAGATAACAGTAAACCACAACAAATCCACAAAACCTGTAGCGCATCTCTGACTAGTTCAATCAAAGTGGTGACAAAAGCAAGCTTTTCCAAGTTTAACCACAGATAACATGCTCAAGTATCATGAGTCATAACAGAAGAAAAAACTACAATACGGTTTTCAAATACTTTCAACAACACAAGTCTAAATGATAAAATCTAAACTGCCAACAGAAAAAAAAAAAAAAAAAAAATCCACGCATACTCATTTAAGAAAAAAGACTGCATATCTATTGTTCAAAGAAGAATCAAGCAACAATTAAATAAATAAGCCTTTCACAAAAAATGTTAGTTTTCACAGGTTTCCATAAGACTAAATTATAAAAACTACAATACTGTTTCCAATTATTTTCAACAACTCAGAAGTCTAAATGATAAAAACCAAACTACCAACAAAAAACAAAAAAAATTCCACGCATACTCATGAGAAAAGAATAAAAGACTGCATATCTATTGCTCAAGGGAGAATCAAGCAAAACTTAAATAAACATTCCTTTTACAAAAGATTTTACTTTTCACAGGTTTCCACAAGACCCACTCTTGCAGAGCGCAAGTATAAGCATCTTCATAAAAAACAACAACCGAGTAATTTAATTTCAACAGAATTACAATCCACAATGCAACTCAAAACTCAAAACAGCGCCATTCAAACATTAAAATCGCAAAAATAAGTAAGCCCCAGAGCTGCACAGTCACAACACCGAGAAGAACAAAAAAATCAAAAACCAAAACAACTAAAAAGTTTACTCTAAAATTCGACAATAATAGAAACAAGCAAATCACCGAATTCTACATCGAATTTCAAAAACCACATCGAAATCGCATTCAAGTTGCCTCCTTTCGAATCCGAAGCAGAAAACCCTAAAAAAAAACCTCAAAAAAATTACCAGCAAAAAAAACTCTTGGCGCCGGTTCCAGCGACACTGGAAGCAGAACCCGAAGCTGCGCAATCAATTAAAGTTAATAAAGAAAAAATTAGAACAAATATGGATAGAGCGATAGGAATTGGCGATAACCTAAGAGCGAGGGCAAAGAGAGAGAAAGAAAGACGAAGAGGTATATAGAGAGAGAGAGTGTGTGTGTGATAGAAGGTTTCGTATTATTAAGAGAGAGCATCGACACACACCACAATTGGCAGAGAGAGAGAGAAAGAGGATCAGACGACTGTGGTTTCCTCTTCAAACCGTTATTTTCCGCATCGAATCCTTATTCAGCTTCGCGCGTGTCTCGGCTCGGCTTAGCGGCTCGCACACGTGTGAGCGATGAAAGATGAAGATGCGGTTTGTGTTCGGATGGGGTGTGTCAACGACAGAGGGCGTGTGTTTTTTTCTACTTTCTTTTTTATTTTACTTTACTTTATTTATTATTTATTATATTTATTATTTGTATTTATTTGTTTGCATGGGTGGATTTAATTCCACAATTCTATTGGGTGTTGGGAACAATCATTAAAATTATAAATTTATGGGAAGTTGACTTTGATGTCAACGGAACCAAATCTAGGATGGTAGGTGTAGATATGTTGAAATAATTATTTTTTTTTATGTTTTGGGATAGCTGAGCTCACGCTGTATTTTGGGTCTTTCGGTGGTGCATAGATTAAGTTTTTGGGTAAAGTGTTTGTGATTTTAATGGGGAAATAAGTGAGGAAATATTTTTAATATAGTTTAGTTATTATAGGATGATGTTACCGAGTAATTTTTTTTTGTGAAAATTTGAATTAGTCTTTCGGTGAAGTAAAATTAATAATTTTTATAATTGATAAGTAAATTTAATATTTTTTTTATTTATGAGAATCAAATTTAATATAAAAATTTTAGAACACCTGTATATCTTATCGAAGTAACTAAGCTAGATCTGTTGATAAGTAGATTTTAATATTTTAATTTGATATATTAATTAATTAATGATTGAAATATTTAAAAAAATTGTGGCAAATTAATATCGTTATAGTCTTGAAATTAGGGTTGTATTTGTCATTTACTTATGTTTGTTTTAATATTTTTTTATGAGCTAAAAAAATTATTTAACTTTAATAGTAGTGTTTGGTAATCAAGTTTTTTTATGAAAAAAATAAGTTATGCATTGGTAAAAAAAAATCATTTAACTTTAATAGCACTGTTTGGTAATCTAAAATAAATTATGATGAGTTTTATAACAAATAAGTAAAATAAATTATATTAATAGTGATCTTAATTGGTTAATAGCAAAGTCATACATATGGTTAGTAAAGTCATCAAGGCAAGGATCTTAGGCCCCCAAATCCACTTATACATAAAGTGGGTGCCATAATTTAAATTTAGTTTTATGTAATATGACAAATTCATCTAATAGAGTTATTTTTCTTTTTTTTTATGTTTTACAAAGTATTTATTCATTATTAGCTTTGTCTACCAAACAATGGAAACTTTTGTAAGATAATATATATAAATTTTCTATAAAATCTTTATCTCAAACTCGATGAAAAAATATAATTGAAAGTGTTAAAGAAATAAAATTTCAAACAAAAATATAAGAGATATTTTAATTTAATTATTAAAATATTGTGAAGATCCAAAAATAAAAGGTGAAGCTATGTGTTTAGCAATTTATAAAATTAAAAATTTTAAATTTTTTTTAGGGATGAATATTTGGTATGATATTTTATTTGTTATTAATTCAGTTAATAAAGTTCTACAATCTAAAAACATGGATATAGAAGTTGTTATAAATCATTTAAGAGGTCTTATTTCTTATTTTAAAAACTATACAGAAAGTAGTTTTGGATTAGCTTTGAAATCCACAACAAAATTAGTTATTGAAATAGATATATAACATAAGTTTCATGAAAAACGTAAAATCCATTAAAAACAAATCATTTTGATGAAAATGTTAGTGATGAAATCACATATTCCAACGGAAGATTCTTTTCGTATTGAATATTATATATATATATATATATAGTAAATCAATCTATTACTACTATCGAGACTCCATTTGAACAATTTTTACAAAATAAAATCATTTTTGAGTTTTAATTTGAATTCAAAAAATTAAAAACTTTAAGTGAAGATGAGTTAAAGAAATATTTATTAATCTTGACTTTTTTAAAAGATTTGGTAAGCATTCTAATAGTGATGGTCTTTAGAATTAAAAGTATTGCGAGAAGTTTTAGAATATTATTAACAATACCAATAACGGTTGTTACTATTGTAAGGAGTTTTCAAAATTAAAATTACTTATATCTTATTTAAGATCAACAATGTTACAAGATAAATTAAATAGATTAGTCATCTTATCTATTAAGAGTGAAATATTAAAATTACTTGATTATAAAACATTGATAAATGATTTTGCTACTCAAAAAGTTAAAAAAAATAGTATAAAAATTAATAATTAATAATTTTATCTACAAATTTTATCTTTAGACCTTAAATTTTCTAGACACAGCCTAGGTTAATAGTATGAAATTATTTTACATTATCAGTGTATTATTATTAAATTATTTATTTGTTAGCTTGTTTGAAGCTAGATATTGATATAGGTAAGATTTTGAATATACATATCAGTCTTATTCGATAAAATTAAAGTAGTTTTTTTTTTAAGTCCAATCTAATCTATTATATTAGTCTATTTAAAAATATATTTTAAATAAAAACTTCAATTAAACTTCATTTTATATATTTAATTTGTATGATAAAAAAATAGTTTACTTCATTATTATTAAAAATTTTATTTTAAAAGAAAAAAAATTAACGTGAAAAGGACAAATCATGCATACACACGTACACTAAGGTACACTCACACAAGGCTGTGATGAAAAAGGGTAATCTTATCCAAAAAAAAAAAAATACTTTCTAAATAGTCTTAAAATTAAGGTTATATTTGTTATCTCATTTTTGCTTGTTTTAATATTTTTTTATTAGATGAAACGGTTATTTAACTTTATTAGTAGTGTCTGGTAATCAAGTTCTTTTTATGAAAAAAAAAAAAAATAAGTTATGCATTGATAAAAAAATCATTTAACTCTAATAATAGTGTTTGATAATCTAAAATAAGTTATGGTGAGTTTTATAACAAATAAGTAAAATAAGTCATACTAATAGTGATCTTGATTGATTAATGTGACACTCATTCTACCCCCAACAAACAACATAAATATTTGCAAAATTTCAATTAAAACTGCAGGTAAAATAGGTTCAAATGAAACTGCCTCTAACATTCAACCAATTTGAAACGAAGTTATAAAGTATAGACTTTACAATAGTTTATAAATTGAAAAGAAAAGGTATATTCAAATAATATATAAACTTCTAATCTAATTTCATTGTCCCGATGTCACACTATCAGAGCAACCCATAACTTCAACTTTCGGCACCTTGAGTGCCACCCACATCAAGATCATCATTACCTAAAATAACCACAAAACATACGAGTGAGGAAAACATGCGTTCATGAGTGAGATACAATAAAGAATTCCCACCCAAAACAATGTCAACCCACATATAATCAATAATAATATTCAATCACAACTTTATTATCAATTTTCAAATCCATCCACTACTATCGTCATCACCACATTGCAATACAGCTATGCACTATGCTCAAGTTCACACCAATGCTTATGTAATGCAACCTCCTGAGAAACATTGACTCAGAGTGCTGCACAATGGGTGAACTTTATCAATCTCTTCAAGCACCGCCACACATTGTTACACTATTAATCACCACATAGGCCAATGTATAAAATATATCATGCATTCCCTTTTAATCACCACACAATGCATTATTTCCTATTAATCACCACGCAATGCATTCCCTATTAATCACCATACAGGCCGGGGTCAATATATATATCTCATGCATTCCCTGTTAATCACCACACAAGCCAAGTTAATGCATATGCACATGCCCCAATGCTCATGCTAATGCTACCAAACTCATTCCTCATCTTCATTCATGCTAAAGCACAATTATTAAGTAATTTGCATACAACCACATTTATACACCACTCATCCAAATACAAACCATTCATACTCAAATATACTCAGCCAAATACACATCATTTATATTTATTCATCCAATAGTCATTACTGGACATCATACAATTCACAACCATCATCAAAATCTATCAATATAATACCATATTTCACAATCACACATCAAACTCACAATCATATCATAAGTATTATAAAGCATCACTAAGAAATCATAATATGAGTTATACACATCCTTTTTGAGTGATTCCAATGTTATTCGAAAGATAACATCCAAGGATACAACTTTTGTGAAGAAAACAAAGCCTAAAAATGTTGTTAAGGTCACCTCGCATGGTTGACAACACAAAACTTAATATTTTGTGCACAAGAAAGAAATTGAACTTATAACTCACATAACTCAATCAATTATTAACATTTTTACACGATTCTAGAGTCTAAATTATAGCCCCAAGTGTCTACTTTCTAGTCCAACAAATGGAAATTGATTTGGTTAATCACACAAAAATATATTACAAAAATACTAAGGTACATCTATAAGTAAAATATATTAATTACTCATTAATTCATATAATTAAGGGTGTTCATCAATCTACAAGAACCCTAACTTACAAAGCACATCCCAATAATTCAAGATCAAGCATACAATCATTCTTTTACTAATTCAATTGGTCAAAACACGTATTTTTACATAGAAATACAACATACATTATCAATTTTATAACACCCCAATTTTCATAGATTATACGAAGGCTCAAAGCCCAATAAGGGTGATTTAGTAGCCCAGAACAGGTCGTTCCCAAACTGGAATGGGTCGTTCCAAATTACTAAAAAGAGCTATTTTTGGTAGCCTAGAACGGGCCGTTCCCAAACTAGAATGGGTCGTTCCAAACTACTAAAAAGGCTTATAACCATAGTTGGGAACAGGTCGTTCTGGTTTAAGAACGGGCCGTTCTAAACATGGTCGTTATGGGTTAAAATGCAACCCTAGAATGGGCCGTTCTGGTTTAAGAATGGGCCGTTTTGGATGTAAATTTTTCACATGAAAAATGAGTCCACAACGGGCCATTCTGGATTCGAAACGGGTCGTTCCGGCCACTCTTGATGTCTATAAATAGCACGCTCTGGTACTCCCAAAAACACAT